CCTGGCAGTGTTCAAGGCCAGGCTGGATAGAGCCTTGGGCGACATAGTTTAGCATGTGGTGTCCCTGCTCATGGCAGGGGGGTTGGAACTAGATGATCTTAAGGTCCTTTCCAACCCTAACTATTCTATCATTCTATGATACAAAATACCTAATAATTAAATCTGTTATGAGAATAATACTTTGAGCAAAACTATAAGCTCAATCTATTAAGTAAGTCAGCATTGCAATTATTCCATGTCAAGCAGTGGCAGAAATATTTTTAAAGTATGTGAATTTTGGTGAAATTTTATCCCAAAGCTTCAAAATTTAAAAATACTGAAGAAGAGTGACCAAACACCTTTAAGGATTGTAAAATTTTCTAATGTCCACATTACTTTAAAATTTGAAGTAAATTATTTATGACTTTTGATTTCTGTCTTTTTTAACCATCAGGAAATGCTGAAAAAATTTCAGAAACAAATGTGTATATCCAAGTTCTTGACATTAATGATCATGCACCAGTATTCCCTAAATATTATGAAACATTTGTTTGTGAAAATGCAGTTTCTGGCCAGGTAAGTGTGAAGGAGTTAATCATCAGTTTTCTCATTACAATGAAGATTTGTTCCATGATGCTACTATTCACTTCAGTATTGATCATTTCAGTACTGTGCATACAGGCTGCATTTTGTTTATATCCAAAATTAGTTCCATTGATAAATGTATAGTTTGCAATTTAAATTTCAGAAGACTGATGTTTATTTTTCCCACCTTAAAACAAAATCAATACACCTTTTTTATCTGCAAAAACAGGTAACAGAGTGGTACAGACAAAAAAACTGCAAAAAAAACCCATAAGGCACAGATTTGCTTTCAGTTAGTGCCACAGACATAAAACTTAGGCCTGGTATTTTCAGCAACAGCATAACATAGTCTGGAAGAACCACACTGAGACCAGATTTATACCAGATACTCATTTATTGTGGACTAAATTTAAATCCTGTCTAGTTCAGTAGAAATCTGAAGATGTTTCAGTCATAGCTCATGCAACACCTTCACTAGCTGTCAGCCTGTGGGATTGTTGTACTAAGCATCCTTCCCTGGAGGATTTTTCCATTTCCTATTCATTACCCAGGGGAAGGTGGTACCATGAGTCAACTGCCCCAACCCCCCAGGTACACTGTTGACTCCAACAGTTGTTTGCTCTTTTTGTTTGTTTGTTTGTTGGGGTTTTTTTGTTTGGTTTGTTTTGTTTCAGGGTGGGTTTTTTTTTTTTGTTTGTTTGTTTTATTTTGTTTTGGTTTCTTAAAGCTACAAAATAAACAACAAGAAAAGCAACAGAAAAAAGCTATAGACAGAAAAATGTATGTGTTTTTTCATTACATACTTTAGCATTACTTGGACATATTAAAAAGTCCTTTGGGGTATCTGTGATGGCTCTTTTTAAATGTTTTACAATGTTTTGATTTCTGAATCACAGGGTCTTTCTTTTTACCACAACTTGGTTTACTTTGACCTTAGTCTGGAGTTAAAGCTTTCCCTGTTGCTAAAGTAATTTCTTCATAGATTTTTGCATTCGTTCATGCTTCTATATCAACAGTTTTGTTCATCCTGCATTTGATAATTTCCACTCTGCAAAAGCTGCCTCTTGTTCAGAGGTACTTGGAGCAAGCCATTTCTTTTGGACTTTGGGTAACTCAGTGACAAATCAAGTACAGACATTAAAGCAAATGTCATTTCATGTTCCTTGTCTTTAAGACATCATGAATTAAATATGGAAACTTATAAAGTGAATATTTGTAATCCGTGTTTTGGACTTGCCTGCAATATAAAAGCCGACGTGATTTATTTCCCATTACTCACTAACAAATAACATCTGTCTGCTAACCCATTATTGGCTACATTTCAATAATAATTAAGTATTTATGTTTTGAGCATTTTGAGAACCACTGGAGAAAATGGCACTGTGAAGAGTAGTAGTAGTAGTAAGAACAATAATAAGCTCTTTGAGCACAGGATACCGAATTATTCCTGTTTAACACTGTAATATGAGATATAGTCCTAGAGGGCAGGGGGGCCCAAGACTGCTGGTTGATATTCAAGGATCACCTGCTACACACTCAGGAGTGTTGTGTCACGACTAAAAGGAAGTGTGACAGGAGAGCCAGGAGACCTCCATGGATGGATAAGGAACTGCTGAGGAAACTTAGAGGGAGAAAAGAAGCTTATAGAAGGTGGAAGCGAGGACAGGCAACCTGGGAAGATTACAGGAATGTTGTCTGGGAAGCCAGGGACCAGGTTAGGAAAGTTAAGGCCCAGTTAGAATTAAAGCTGGCAAGGGGCATGAAAGATAATAGGAAACGCTTCTATAGGTACGTAGCAAATAAAAGACAGACTAGGGACAACGTGGGCCCTCTCCAGAAGCTATCAGGAAGACTGGCTACCCTGGATTTGGAGAAGGTTGAGGTTCTTAATGACTTCTTTGCCTCTGTCTTCACTAGCAAATGCTCAGACCACACCACCCAACTCTTGGAAGGCAAACACAAGGACTATGAGAATGAAGACCTTAGGCCCACTGTAGGAGAGGATCAAGTTCAAGACCACCTTAAGAACCTGAACATGCACAAGTCCATGGGACCGGATGAAATCCCTCCACGGGTCCTGAAGGAGCTGGCTAATGAAGTTGCTAGGCCACTGTCCATCATATTTGAGAGGTCATGGCAGTCAGGTGAAGTTCCGGGGAAATGTAACCCCCATTTTGAAGAAGGGGAAGGTGGAAGACCCAGGGAACTACAAACCAGTCAGTGTCACCTCTGTGCCTGGCAAAATCTTGGAGCAGTTTCTCCTGGAAAGCATGCTGAGGCACAAGAAAAACAACGAGGTGATTGGTGACAACCAGCATGGTTTCACTAAGGG